TTGTCATTTGCTCGGCTAGGTCCTGAGCCAGTTCGGCTAGTTCTAATAAAGCTTGGCTGGCTGACCATTTCTAAGAGAGGCATTGCCTATTCACTCTTTTCTTCGTGATGATTGACATGTGTCTTTTTTGTCATGTGACCTATTCCACATGTACTAATTAAATGATCTAATCATATGTAGTCATTTTTGATCGTTAGATTAATTATAAATTTCAATGTTAGATATAATTCAATTTTATTTTAATGGGCATTGAATTAGATCCTCAAATTAGATTCAATTAGCATTTGAGCAATGCTAAATTTTGGTGTACAAATTTGATGGATAAAGAATTATTCATAGTATTTTCATAATTCAACAGCTACATTGAATTAAATTCTGAGCATGTGTGTAAATTAAATCTCTGATGGCATACATAAAAATAGTTGATTTTTAGATGCCTACGGAAGTCTCAGTTCAAGATAGGGGTGTTTAAAGTTTCGATTACCCGCAAATTTCGATCATACTTTATCCTATCCGACTTTATTCCTACCCTACTCTGCACACACACACACACACACACACACACACACACACATATATTAATCCCTAAAATTCAAAAATCTAGAAACCCTAATGTGATATTAATGTGTACAACTTTCTTATAGTTTATGACTTTTTTGTTGTATTTTATTATAATTGTTTATGTATTATCGAATTTATTGTATTTTTTTAGTATTATTGATTTATTATGTTAGTTAATTGGTGCATGTTACTTAATTAAATTATTAAAATAATTCAAAAATTAATAATTAAAAAATGTGTTCACCCGACTTCCTACCCAATTGTTTTGGGTAGAATTCGGATAAGAATACTATACTTGATCATAATAGGTTAAAAAAAAAAATTACATAATTCAAATAAAACTAAAAAATTAAAACCCAAATGTATATCTTATTTTGGATGAGTGAGTCTTATTGAAAAAATTGATAAAACCTACTTATCAAAGAGATGATATATATTTCAGATACTACTTTTTGAGTTTTATTTAGGTTTTATTTGAATTTTTAGCATTGCTCAAAATTTTTTTTTTCTGCAACATATGGGATAAGAAAATAAAATACCATATAATTATATAGGGTGAACACCCTAGTTCAAGAATGCTTGCATCCGGAAGGTTCCTTTGCTCAGTCTTACAGCGAATGAAAGTGGAGCCAAAACCAAAACATACGGTACCTGCTGAATCCCGAGAGCGTAAATTGCAGAGAGAAGAGTAGAGAAGTGAAGATGGATGGAAGGCGAGTGAGAAGGGCTGGGAGAGGACAAAATCAGACCCTCCTGCCCCTCCGCGTCAGGCACCTGTCCAACACTGTTTCTTGTTGGTACTCATACGTGTTCTCTGTCTTTCCCTCCTCATCATAAATTCTGAGCAGGAGATCATGCAATTTCTCTCAATAACTCTCCTACAGGTACTGTGATTTCAAGACATCGGCCTTGAATGAACCACTATTCCGTTTCGGACGAAGACATGCAAGGTATATTTCCCACTTCGTCTTGCTCTAATGTCTTATCCCTCTAATTGTCAATTGTAGTCTCTGCCCTTTTCCTTTCTGTAAAGTAAAATTAATATTTTTTTGGTAAATGTAATATCTAACAAAAGGTAGTCGAAGGAGGACTCTTATCGGATTTGGCTGAATCGCAATGAAAAGTAGTTCTCGGTCCTCGGAGATATATGTCGGTGTAACAGGTCACTGATAGTCTAGTTCCTACCGACCTGAACTCATTGGATGTGGAGGGCACAGAAAAAACCTTGTTACGTTCCCCTCTTGAACACTGATGAAGATAATTTTCTTGACAGAACTAGGCAGAGAGAACAAACACACGTAGAATTCTAAGAAAAGAACGAGAGAGATAGATACAGAAGTAAGGTGAAGTAGCTTCTGGATGGCCTGGGTTTTCATATAGTTTCAATATGGGGGTGTCGAGCGTTTTTATAAGGTGAAGTAGTCTTAAGCTTTTCCTGATTTTCTGAAGTTGGTTTCATGAGTAACAGTTTTACAAACTTTCTGATGTGGGATGACTATGGGCAATTGCTTCAGCATCTTTCCGATGTGAGATATATGTATTAGGGCTTTGAAATACACATGATATGCATTGCATATTTTGTTGTTATGAATGCTTTAATATTTTTTGAAACTTGTGGAATTGGAGCTCAGCTGGTTACGTACTGGCTCTGTCATACAGGTGTTTGAGAGTCTGGTTTTCTGTTGGGATAGGTTTTAGTCTTACCGCACTGCTTGGAGTTACTATGGTCAGAAACTAAAACTTTTTGATAATTTCAAATTCTGTATAAACAGCTATCTCCGGTTATTCTGTTCAAGATCATTTTTCCTTCTTTTTCATGGGTGGTTGACCAGGTTCTTATATGGGAATTAGCCAGGGCTCTGCATTTCTACAGTGGGAAGGGCCAGCTCAGCAGTCGTTTGAGTGAATCTTTGCTTGGGTTTTCCCCTTTGGTGAGCATTCAATCTAATTGATGTAAGACCTATGTTGGAATCAGCCTCTAAATAGGTAGAAGTGGAGAAGTGGTTTGTGTAACATGTTACAGTTACTCATGACTGCCCATATGACTGGTTAGTAATTATGGTACTAGTCTCTCTTAGCTTTATGTTCCAAGCTCTTTTACTCATCCAACCAGTTAATGTTGATTGTTATATCTTGGCTTCGTTGAAATGGAATGTACTTCTTTCCACAAAATCCATGAGCATGTCATATTTAAGTTTTGCGGCAGTGAATTGATTGAGCGAGTACTCATGCTGAAATTTACTCTATGATTTTAATTTCCTCATCCTCTCTAGTTTCATCTTGACTTTCCAATATTTCTTAAACAACAAAGATTGGCGTGATTGCAGATCTTGTTGAACCCCTATGTTTCATGCTCAGGTTTCAATGGATCTGATCCACGGGAGAGGTTTTTGTGATGTTGAGTCTTTTGTTATAGTTGGACGGCTTTTTGTCCCAGTTGTACATTATTAAATGAAGGATTTTAAAAGTTGCAATTGCCTGCAGAAGTAGACTCCTGCTAAATTGACCTTTAGGATTAACGTCAAGTCTTACTACTTTGAAGCATGGAGGCCTAACTGCTATAGATAGTAGGAAACCATAGATCAAATCCAATAAATCCCATATATTTCAGTTGGTATAGAATTGTTTGGCATGAGCATAGTAGCTTGAACCATATCCCAGGCAAAAAGCAGCTTCTCAAGATTTTAGTTATTTATATGATGTTGGGGCTTATTGATGGTGATTAGTTTTTATTGGCCTACATGAGAACTAATTATACCTTTTCATTGAGCATGTAATTCTATTTGTCACCCCCCCAGCATTGATTAGTTCTTTTGCTCCTGTATCTTTGCAGGTTTTTGGATTGAGTATCTCACTTGCTGATGTTGGTTACATATGTATATCTACCGTTGTATCTGTATCTGCACATGAATTTGGGCATGCTCTTGCTGCTGCAAGGTTAAGAATTTTTATCTTTTTTTTTTTTATGGATTTATCAACTAGAGCACCTGATTGGACAATCCCATGGACTTAGACATTTTAATTATAACTCGTAAACTTCATATGTGTATTATGTATATATCATATATCTCTAGGAACCAAATTATTCTCAAGTAAAAGGAAACTATAAAATTAAGTAATTGTATGCTTTAACTTTTTTTTTTTTAACAATTAAACTACTCAAGAGTTGTAATGGGTAACATTAGCTTCAATTGAAATCTTTGTAAATGTTAAATACGTAACCTAATTTGGCAAACAATTTGTTTTCTTTTTGTTTGGGGGGGGGGGTGTTTAGATGCCCCTCCTCCTTTATGTAGGCAAGTGTGTGTGCATTTCACCTTTCCATGGCTTAGAAAATCAGTGCTCAAGCTAAGGAATAAGCTTTGCTCTTGGTAATTAGCTTCAGTTGAAAACATTTCGTAGATGTCATACAAATGATATAATTTTGACTAACAATTTGGGGGTGGTGCATTCTCTGTGTGAGTGTCTTTTTTTTTTTTCGTGTTTGGAAAATAATACAATGCAAGGAATAAACTTTATTCTCTGAGCATTTGGTATATGATGCATATGACGTTTCAAGATTCCAGCACTTCAATTGAAATATTTAAAAAGTGAAAATGGGAGAGTCGGAGAGTAAAGACCTGATTTGTCTTGGTGAAGAAGTTTTGTAAGTTCTTTTTGGTGGAGGTGTGGTTGCTACATTTTGAGGGAAAGGACTGGAGCTAGTTGCAGGATTAGTGAGATGCCTTGAACTTGATTTTGTGGATTCGCAATATGGTGATCCAGTGAGATTACATTTTGTCACAGTTGTATTCATTAGTGTACATAAGATGGATGTCTTTATTGTTTTTGAAACTCGTTGCTTTTCATGAATGGGGTGCATGTTCTATATGTTTGGGCAATCAATCTCATGACTAGTACTGTTTTACTTTTAAAATTTGCTTACTAGTTATTTGCTGATGTAATCTATGATGAATCAATCATGGAAAAATTGGTAAGTTTATAGATTGGAATATATGTAGATAATAAATCTTATGATCAAGGATCAAAATATCGTTTTGAAACGGTCGAAATATTCAAAACGTTTTCGTTTCCAAGGAGACCAAAACGAATCAGTGGTAGAATCGAAATTCTAATATTTCGAGTTATTTCATAATGTTTCGAGATGTTTTATAATATTTTAATACATTTGTACAATTGTTTCAGAATATTTCAAGAAATTTTGATATATATCGACCAATGTTTTAGAAAAATAATTCTTATTTTTTAATTTTTTTCATTATGTTTCGAAACACGTTGAAACGTTTTTGTTTCTTAGGTGACTGAAACAATACACTGAAACGAAATTTTGATCTTTGCTCATGATTGGTATTATAGGTGCCACTTTTATGGGAAGTAGCGTGGGCATACAAATAGAATACATTGCAGTATTTGTAGGAGTGTTGTTTCTCAGAGCTCTCATGGCTTTCAAGGATGAGTTGCTACCGGCATCTACCCTTCCTTCGTATATAGTACATTGGCATTTGGCACACGGTTAACAAAAACATACATGGTCCTACGAATTGTGATGTGGGTCACATGAACCTAAATGGGGTAGTTCGCAACCTGGATTGCCTATCTCAATGACCCCCAATTTTAATTTATCCCTAAGTCAAAAACCAAACCCCTAATGAAAACCCTAACTCCAATCAAACACCAAATCTCGCAGTGCAGGTTACAAAAGTGGGAAGGAAAAAGCCAAGGGATAGAGGCAAAATTTAGTGACGATTGAGTTACATACTAGATTGATTGCAATCTCACTCGCAGCTGGTCAATCTGTATGCATAACCTTCGAATTCGTCCTTCAAATAAAAGTTTGCACTCTCTATTCATCAATCAAAAGATGCATTTGGTTCATTTGGGTCGGTTGCCACTGTTAGAAGGATTTGTTTGAGACTCTTTGTGTTCGTCTTATCTGATATTATTCGTGTTCGTTATGTCTCGTCTGAGGCTCTCCCTCCCCCGTAGTTGGTTAATTGGTAGCATTTTCTTTATTGAACGGGCAATTGGTAGCCTTGACTGACCTAATGGTATGTTTGGGTGAAAAGTCTAAAAAAGCCCTCTACGCTATGTGACATGAAAACCTATTTGGGGTAAAAAAGTCAAAACATCCTTTAGGGTTAATTAAGCATGGGCTGCCTTTGCTCGTCTACAGGGTTGCATGTAGCCCTATAAATGCTTTTTTGATTTTTTTTCACAAGAATGACAGCCCCATAAATTATCTTCGCAATTACCTTATTGAATTACAGTCTTTATTCAGCATCTCCGTACGTAGTATTGTGTTATTATAATTTGAAAAAATGGTTTTGGGAAAAGAAGAACGGAAGTACAAGATTTTTCTCAAAAACAAATGATGGTAATATTCAAAATTTGGATAATTTGCTGACAGACATAAAGGTGAACATATTGAAGAATCAGAAGAAGATAACACTAGCCAACCACCAAAAAATAACACACACAACCAAATCAATTACAAGTTGATGCAAAGTTGAAACTGTTAATGAAGTCAATCTAATTGGTACAGTTCAAGGAAAAGATCCAGGGGATCAAAGAGTTGATATGTAAACATTGTGGTTGTAGATTTACAAGTTCATATACCCGAAGGCATTACCATTTTTTTGGTGTCCCACGCAGAAGAAAAGTAGAAATTAAACAGTGTTCAATAGTGATGAATAGTGAATATCAAAAATTGTTAGAAAGAGTACATAAGGCAGAATAAATAGGAGTTTATTCGTTCTTGAAAATTTCTACATTGATAAAGGGGCAACCTTTGTCAATGACTGGATCAATTGAAGATGTATTCAAGGTGATTTATCAAGATATGGTTGACATGATTGTAGTGAAGGGATTGTGGGTTAATAGAATTCCATTGAATTTGTTTGGAAATCCTAAATTCAATGAGATGATTGCAGCCATAAATAAAGGTCCTAAAAGTTGCAAGGCTCCTACCTATGAAAATCTAAGAACTATATTATTGGATGAGTATAAAAGAAGTGTTAAAAATAATTTGATTCTGGTTAAAGATACACGGTATTCTCGTCGGGTATCAATTGTATTAGATGATTGGACCAATGTCGAGCATCAACCATTAATTAATATTCGCAAATAACCGTATAACTATGTTTTTATATGTTAAAGATTTTTCGGGGATAGAGAAAATAAGTCAATTAATAACTTATTTTTTGTTGAAAGTGATTGAACAAATAGGCCTGTTAAATGTCATTTAAGTAGTGATCGACAACGCAACAAGTTGCAAACTTGCGGGAAAGGAGGTAGAAAAAGTACACAAACATAAATTTATCTCCTTGTGTTGTTCATACTTTGAAGGATAAATTAAACTTTGATTCTCTCAACTTTGACAATTTTTTCACTTTGCCTCTTCAACTATTGAATTTTTCACATTGTCCTCGCAACTACTTTGATTATTTTATAGTGTCACAATCCCAAGTATCCGTTATATTTTTGGATAAAAATTGTTGATGTGTCGGGGCAAAGTGAAAAAAAATACATAGTTTAGGGGGCAAAATGAAATAACTTTACATTAAATATGTAGTGGACGTTAATAATTGAGGTAATCTGTAACTAATCACGTAGTTGAGGGTACAATGTGAAAAATATGATAGTTGAGGAGGCAAAGTGAAAAACAATCATATTTGAGGGGTCAAAGTATAATTTATCCTACTTTGAATCTCATTTTTAAAGACATTGCAAAAGAATTTGAATGGTTTAGAAATACTTATACAAGAAGAAAGTTGATTGTAAAATATTTCTTGAACCATACTCATGCTTTGACTATATTTAAGACTCAAGTCAAAATTGGAGTTATTGAAAGTGGGAAAACCTATGTTTGTATCACATTATATTTTGTTGATGCGACTTGTTGGCTGTAGAGTCTCTTTCAACTATTGTTGTTCTTAAGACCTGGAAAAAATTGTTAAAAATTAGGGATGAACACACAAGGAAGTTAGGTGCTATGGTTACAAAATCGGTGAACAGGGAGGAATTTTGGGATGATGTGGAGAATGTAATAAGTATCATAAACCCAATATTTTTTCTTATTAGATTATGTGATGGGAATGGTAAAAAAATGGGTGAGATATATGAAAAGATGGACAATAAGTTTGGTGACATAAAAGATATTATGATAGCACACTAATAAATTTTTCCAGATTGAAAAATTGTGGTTCATAGGTTGGAGAAGATGAATGTTCGTTTACATTGTCTTGGGTCTGTACTAACATCACGGTTTTATGATACTCAATATCTTGCTAAGTTAGCACTAGGAGGTATAGTTAAGAAGACCCCAAATCAAGACAAGGAAGTGATCATAGGTATTACACAAGCATTTAGAAAGATAGCAGAAAATTTACAATAAGCAAAACTTTTTTGAGAATAATATGCAAATTTTCATTCACGAAAGGGTCTCCTTGCTATGGTGGCTTCTCAAACAGATGTTGTGACTATGGATGCTCTTGCTTAGTGGTCCACATATGGTTCAGACACTCCAGAATTAGCAGATGTGGTGAAAAATGTATTAATTTAAATTTATTGTTGTTTATTGTATTGTCTTTTATCATTATTATCTTTGTTTTATTATTTTCTTTCATAATAATATATTATCCCAACCAATTACAAGTTCATCAGCTTAAAGAAATTGGAGTACATAATCATTCTTTCACAATATCTATAGAAATAGATTGAATTCTACAAGAGCTGATAAACTGATTTTTATTTATTCAAATATTCGTTTTCAATCACGTTTCACTGGAAGTTATAGAGATGGGCCTTTAAAGAAATAAGTCATCAATCCAGATCTCACATATATAGATGAATCCATTGTGTGATTGGAGGATTTGTAGTGGAAATCCTTGGAGGTTGATTATATGGATAGTTCTACCATAGTACCATTGCTACTTAGGAAGATGATGAAGCACCATCCTTGCATGCTTCTATATTATTTCTAGCAGGCCACCACTTCGTTGTTTCGGGCTACATTAGACTTAAATTTTTAACTTTGCAAGAAAATAGAGTACTTCAAAAGATAAGGAGAAAATAGTTGACAATTAAGCATTGTGCTTTAATTTGATTTACAATTGACTTATTTTTATTTTGAGATTTGTTAGTTAATTAAGTTTTTTATTTTTATTTTCTATTCAAGTATTTAGTCATTCCCTAGTACCCTAATTTTAATTTTAATTGCCTTAGAATTTTTATTATGACTTTTTTTTTGTTTTTTGTAATTCAAATATGTAACCATTACTTTTCCTGTTAATAATTATTTAGCCGATGCGTTGTTGTGAGTCCTGATTTGCCCAGACACATACTAAAATACCAAATAAATATTGACTATTTGTGTATGCATATATAATTAAACAAATAGTAAAAACTATTATGGGTACAAAATAACTACTAACTCATTGAGTTTATGTATGTATCACTATATATAAATTTTTATAGTAGTGAAAACGATCTAGATAAGAATCCAAAGCTAACCACGGAAATCTCAAAAAAAAAAAAAAAGCTTTCGAAGATCAAGAGCGTGATGCTCCCTCATGCAACTCACCTTTCTTCTTTACCAGAAATCAACACGATCCTCTTTCCTTGTTTAGCAATTGGCTTTAGCTCTTGGTGGCCTCACCGCACAACGTACTTGAGAAAGAGCGCACGTCATACCAGTACTGCGTGCCAAATCGACCCATGAAAATGAGTGAAAAATTTATTTTTTTTAACAATTAAACTACTCAAGAGTTGTAATGGGTAACCTTAGCTTCAATTGAAATCATTGTAAATGTTAAATAGATAACCTAATTTTGGCATTTTTTTTTTGGGGGGGGGGGTGGCGTTATCTCTATCTCTCCCATTTGTGTGTGTGCATTTCTTCTTTCCATGGCTTAGAAAATCAGTGCTCAAGCTAAGAAATAAGCTTTGCTCTAGGTAACTTCAATTGAAAACATTTCTTCATAGATGTTATACAAATGATGTAATTTTGACTAACAATTCGGGGGTAAAGCGTTCTCTGTGTGAGTGTCCATTTTCTTCGTTGTTAGAAAATAATACTAGGCAAGGAATAAGTTTTGTTATCTGATCATTCGATATATCATATATGATGCATGACATTTCAAGATTCCAACACTTCAATTGAAATAGTTAGAAAATGGGAGAGCAAGAGAGTAGAGGCCTGATTTGTTTTAGTAAAGAAGTTTTGTAATTTTTGGTGGAGGGGTGGTTGCTACATTTTGAGTCAAAGGACTGGAGCTAGTTGCAGGTTTAGTGAGATGCCTTACACTTGATTTTATGGATTCACAATATGAGGATCCAGTGAGATTACATGTTGTCAGTTTGTTAGTATACATAAGATGGATATGTCTTTAAAATTTGTTTACTAGTTATTTGCTTATGTAATCTATGATGAATCAATCGTGGACAAATTGGTAAGTTTATAGATTGGAATACATGGAAGCAATAAATCTCATGATTGGTACTGTAGGTGCCACTTTTACGGCAAGCAGCGAGGGCATACAAATCGAATACATTGCAGTGTTTTCAGCAGTGTTGTTTCCTGGAGCTCTCGTGGCTTTCAAGGACGAGTTCCTGCAGGCATTACCACGTCTTTCTACCCTTCGTATATACTGTGCTGGCATTTGGCATAATGCAGCAGTAAGTGCACATAATAATTCAATATTTGTTATGCACTTGAATTTATGACATCAATTTTTGTGCTATCACATGTGTTGCTCAATCTTAGAGCTGATTGCCTTCAACTTCCTCTACAGTTTTGTGCAGTTTGTGCATTGGCATTGCTACTCCTACCGTTGATCTTGTATCCATTTTACATACATGGTGAAAGCCCCATGGTACATAAGCATGAACTCTTTGTACTCTAAGATTGTTTATTAGTTGTTTATGCTTTCAATCAAGGCATAATTAGAACTCACGTACTAATCTTTTGTCATTGCATTGCAATAGGTTTTGGATGTATCTTCTATTTCGCCTTTGTCTGGTTATTTGTCTCCAGGTGATCTAATTGTCTCACTAGATGGCATCCACATCCATCATGCACAAGAGTGGATGGACATTGTCACTCTGTTAGATGAGCAGACACTTCAAAACTCAAAACATTACAGTGATTCTGAAAACTTCGTGACAGTAAATGAAAGAAAGGGGTACTGTGTTCCAAAGTCTTTTTTTGAAGAGAGCATGCATATCGATTTGAAAGACAATGTAACTACTTGTCCGAATGAGCTGACTGCATTTGCATCTATTTCCTGCTTCGATTCAAGTACATTGGGTGGTGTTAGCAGCGGAGATAGAAAAAATATCCACTGTCTGAATGCTAAGGATATAGTTAAGCTTAAAAAATGCGGTGATGGTTGGGTAATGACTGTAAGCAATAGAAGCAACTGCCTGTGTTCGGGGGTAGGAATTCTTACTATTGACGTATCTTGTTTTCATATACATGCTTGTGTCAACAATTACTTTTCATTAATCATGAAAAAGTACTGATTGAGGGAGGAGAAGCCTGCCAATGAAAAGCACATAAAAGTAAACTTGAATAAAAAACAAATTGCAACTCACAAATGGATTTCCAAACTGCGCTTGTAAAAAACAAAGGAACCCGCAAAATGAGGACACATTGAAACTCAAAAAGAAGCCAAAAGCCAGATTCTTTCCCATAAATTATATGACACCTCACACTTGTCTTCAAAATTTGTTGTATTGCTCTCAAGCCATATAACCACAAGAAAAAAAGAAAAAAAAACCAACACCACACATCTCCAAAGTGATCTAGCCTTTTTACTCCTACCAAGAATCTCAAGCATTGCAATGCAAGAAGCTGGAGAAATCCAACACATCTCCACTAGAACAAACAATCTACTATTTAAAGAGAAAGTAATTGGACAATTATGAAACAGATAGCCAGTATTCTACTCAATCCTTCTACACATGATGCACCAGTGAGGAAGTAACAAATGATAAGGTTGCCTCCTTTGAATCAAATTATGAGTAGTAATTTTCTTTTGAGTAATACTCCAGCAGAAAAAATGGACTTTAATAGGCACTTTCGCTTTTCCAATCATCTGGGAAGGTTTAAACTTTTGTATAGATGGATCATTTTGTCTTGTACAATAAATAATTTGCAAGAAAACTCTCTAGACAAAAGATAGCCCACCCCTGTGTATTTGGAATATTTTGCCTTAGCATGGCTCCATTCAACTAGGACATAAGAGAACAAAGCTCAATGCTCTTCCCTGTTATTGAGATTTCTAATGAAGTTAAAATTCCAACTGATGGGAAAAGAAGTATATGACACTGTTGAAGCAATTGAGACATTGCGGTTTCGGGATAGACGATACGAAGAAGGGAACAATGAAGAAAAGGGACTACACCCCTCTACACATCTTCCCAAACATGTGTCTCACTGTTAACAATAATGGAGAAAATTCCAATAATGAATGGAAAAAAATGGATGATTTTTCCATTTCCAACAAAGAAATTGATTACCTGGTAAAAACAAGACAATCCCTTCGAAATCTATTTCCATGAATTAGGAGCATTCCCCCAATTTACCATGGTAGATAGGAATATTTAAAGGCACTGAATGCACAGAAGTCAAAGCCTTTTTCCATCTATCCAACATCTTACCACTTTTTCCAACTACTGGATCCCAAAAAACTCGGACCTTGGATTCCTACTTAATAGCAAACCAAGATATTTCAGGTGCCACTTGTCAATAGCACACCCCGAAGCACCACCGAGTTTATCAGGCTTATCTTGCGATACATTAACGCCCAGTGAGGAATTCTTACTCAAATTAACCTTCTATCCCGGAATGATATCAAATATTTGCACTATAGAATACAAATTAAGGACCTTTTGCTCTTCTCATGTTTAAAAAAAAAGTGTCATCACAAAACTGAAGATGAGAAACGGAAAATTTGTCTCTTCCCACGACAAACCCTTTAGCAAAATCAACCTCCTTAGCCCTCTCCACCAATCTACTTAAAGAATCAACTACTGAAGTGACCGAATAAGGAGATAATGGATCACCTTGTCTTACATCCCTTGTCTCACCATTAACAGTAATGGAAAAAATTCATTGAAGTTCAGCAATGTCAAATCCACTTTCTGCAACCAAAAATAATAAGAAATTTTTTTCTCTGCTCGCAAACATGATGGAACTCAAATTAAGAAGTAACTTATTGCTATTATGGTGGTTGAAACAGGCTGAGTCTTGCTTAACCCCGGTCCAGATGCTGGGTCAAACATGGGGTGAGATCACATATTCAAGCCCTTATTCCCCAGAATGTCGGCAACCTGAAAGAAATTCATTTCCAGGTCATAAGAGTTCTGACTTTGGAGAAATTAGCTGTGGTGGAACTTTTGTTTTTATTGGGAATATGATCTCCATGGCGCACTCAATTCGGTTAACTTCATATCAACCTCGTTGGTCGTTAGATTTTGGTGCATATATTCCAAATGTACTGGAAAAGCTTTTGATGTGCATCTTTCATGCCTCTCTTATGCTTGCTCTTCTCAATAGCCTTCCGGTATGTCTTCATGTCATTGTATGTTTCCATATATTTAAAAACATAATTACTTTCCTATATATGTCTCAACCTACATGTGGGTCATGCTTGTAGAACATGCATAGAGAACCTATACAAATAGTGCTGTAAGAGAACTTAGGCGCACATTGTATCAACCTTTACAATGATCACTATGGTTAAAATTATTTTTGCTGTCCATATTACCAATTTGAATTTATACTGTGTCATACTAGTTGCTTGCCACTTATACTGTGTCAATACTACTTGCATGAGATTGTGGCTCAAGTGTTTGAGGTCTTGGATCTTTTAGCCATAGCTGCTTTTATTTTGTGATTTTTTATGCATGCTTTGTTTGGTTCGGTGTCTTTCTCCCATGGAAGTGACAACTGTTATGCAAATGCCTGCTTAGGCTTTTTAGTTTCTACCTTATGTGAAAGCCCTTTTCTTCATCGGGGCCTTTTTTCATTGAGGCTTTCGAGCTTGATTCATGATAAGGGGCTGTAGCTTGTCACGAGCAGTCAATTTCCAACCTATTAGAGGATTGCAATTAAGTTATGGCAAGTTACTATGTGTTACAAGCTGAGAGGTCATGAGTTTGAGGGTGAGTTGAGAGAAAGCTTTGACAATTGTGATAATTGATTGTCTGGAATAATGAAGATTTTGGCCTTCATATAATCGCAAGGCATCCCTTGCTGAGCATATAGTAATCTCATTTATAATTTAAGTATCTGGGAAAGCCTCAATTTAGAGTGAGGATAAGACCCAAAGTCATTTTGATAGAGGTTCAAGTGGATGGAATCGGTTGTAGACAAAAATGATATACAAGGTAGATTCAACAATCATGGGAACAGTAATTTCTTTCACAGACGGAGGAACAGGGGCCAAGGGAAAAATTTACTGTCAACTTCCAAGTGGGGAACTCTGTGGAAGAACTAGGAATATATTTGACGCGTTGATGGACTTTATTTCAGTCTCTGAAAGGCTGATTAACTGGTGAGATCTGACCAGTTGCCGATTCTTTGAGTGCAATTTAGCTTAAAAAACCTTTACTTGGGAAGATCAAGTCTGCATGTTGAATTATAGTGCAAACAAGAATTAAAATTTTGTTTCGATGCATTATATTGTTTAGCTCCGAAATAGAACATTTCAGCATTAGGAAAAATTTGGAATTTAGATTCCATACATTCGCATATTGGTCGAAACATTTTGAAACAGGGGAATTCCAATCCATCGCTGGTCCATTTCTGTTTCCACCATTGAGGTGAAACTAAAATTTGATCCTTGAGTGCAAATAGAAAATCAAGAAAGAAGAAGAAGAATAAGTGAAAAGAGAAAGCTGGAATAAAAAGAGAGAATGCTCTTATTAGACCAAGGATCGAAATTTTATTTCTGTTTAGAATGAAAATAGAAAAAAAATTGGAAATGTGTGTACAAATAAATCAAAATCTTGTTATTTATGTAGGTAAGCGTAACAATTGATTGATTGTGCATATTTATTATTTAAACAATCATTATACAATGTGGCATTTATTCAAACTCTTCGTTTTTATTGCCCAAATAATGTAATCAATTTTTTTTCTCCTATAGGAAAAAGTAAATTTTATTAATAAATAATTAGAAAGAAAAGTTACAAATCTAGCCACCGGTTAAGACATCCAACCCAAAGATAGGTGAAGACAAACATCATAAAAGCAAAAACAATGGAAGATGATCATGTTACATTCCACGCGAGGCTGTCCAACTAACGGTAATACAAAAAAGAGCAATATTCACAAATTCCTTTCACACCGATGTCCAAAATGAAGTCAAGAAAAACATTTTGTCACATAATCCTTCCACTTCTTCACTTTTAACCTCAAAGATTCTTGTGTTCTTCTCCAATCAAATGACCCAAATAGTAGCAAAAAAAAACACACCGCCAAAGGGTCTTTATCTTCCAATTTCCTCCCTAACTTATAGCATCTAAGCCAAGTATTGAGGACCATGGATCTAACCGCCACCCAACAAAGGCCCACAAAATTAAACATGTTCCAAAGTTAGAACGTCGTGAGACAATGTAAAAGTAAATGATCCACACTCTCACCATCATTTTTGCACATTCCCCACCACAGCGGGAGAAAACAAGTCTTAATTCTCCTTCTTTGAAGCAATCATTAGTTTTAATCTTATCTTGGGTGATCATCCATGCATAAAGTTACACCTTTAAAGGCACGTTGACTTTCCAAATCATAAATGATGGAAGAGTGGAATCATCGATTAAAAATATAAAGAAAGATTTACATGAAAACACACCTTTTAGATCAATAACCCTACTTCTTTTGTCAAGCTAATTTTGGGTCAAAGAAACACTACTAAGCACGGAGAGAAGCACTAATAATTGGGAACGTTCTCTATGATTAGGACTCTTACGAAATCCGAAGTCCGAAGAAATAGGGTAAAAGTAAAAACGAACAAGAGAAACAATACAATGACCATCATATTAGGAAAGTCTCTAGAGACGTGGAAAAAAAACTAGGGAATGAAGACTCCCCTATTGACATTATGCTTTATTATTCATGATTTTGACAAACATTAGAATGCGATTTAACTATGATCTCTTGTATTAGAGTGTGTTTGTTAACTCAAATTCAACACTAAAAATAATTGTATTCGGCACTTATTAATTAAGATCATTTGATAACAAAAATTTAAACTCTCTTAATATGTTAAGTGCTCCTTAAAAATAGGCTACAATATTAAGTAACAGATCCCTTACTTAATTCTGAAAGTTAAAAGCGCTCAACAAAACCTATTTAATAATATTTATAATATGACAATTATACCTTGAAATATATTACAATTCTATTAAAATTCTAATTATTTTTCTCTGCAAAACCCCAACCCTATCTATCCTCTTAGTTGATCGTCTTCTTTAGCGGGTAACAAGTAAGTTTCTTCCCATTTTTTTTTGTCTTGTCCAACAAAAATCTATATATATATAATTAAACACACACACAGATGCAATCCCTACACACGCGCGCGCGCGCACACATGCACACGCAGGCACTGTACACATAGTTACACAGTCTTGCACGCATACACACACGCCCTGTACACACAATTACACACACAGTCTAGCTGTTTCACACAGACACATGCACTCCACACATTGTGCACACACACACCTTTTTTGTTCTTTTTTTTCTCAATATTTTTTGATTATTTATTGGTTATTGTTCTTAATTCTTTTTATTCAGATGTTATTGTTTACATATTGTGTTATTCAATTTATTATTGTTTGGTAATTGTGATCAAATTTTTATGCTCAATTTGCGTTAACAAACTCTTGATATGTATCCTAATTGTAATTTTTAATATTTATGACAATTGACAGCTTTAAGTGATCAATTTAACTTAAATTAATTTTATTATCATGTTTGTTAAATGTAGAATCCAATATGATAATAGTGATAATGATTTATATTATGAATTAAACTGATTTTATATATCATAGTGTTTTAATAGATAAAAGCATATTTTATAAATAATTTCAAATTAAAGAATGGAAGGATAAAAGGGAAAATTAATTTATTTTCAGACATCAGCTCTGTATAGTAATAAAACATTTTGGTTCAATTCAGTACTTAAATTTCAGTGAGTACTAAATAGTGTACGAATTCAGTTTTTAGTTTTCAAAGTTTAGCATTCAGTTTTATCAAATACTACCCGAGTCTTTGGATAAATATAGGTACTATCCTAGAATGTGATGTTCCATATGTGGAACAAAGTCGAGAAGAGAAGATAGCAAGAAAAGAAAAAGAAAATAAAATAGAAGAACACTAGTAAATTGGCGTGGAGGTCGGGCCAACTGTTACAAGGCAACTGATCAATTGGAAAAACTCTCATGTTTCTTGTGAGGAGCAATTTGGGTAGAAGGTTTTAGCCATTGACCGGTCCCTCAAACCGTTCAATCGGTCATGGTCTATGGAGTATTTACTCCTTTGGACAACAAGTTTCACCAGTCCCTGGTTGACTGCTGCAAGGCAACCTGTTGATCGGTGGCCTTTATTAGTTGACTAGACAAACTATATGAAATGTTTTCTTGTGAGGAGCAATTTGGGAAGTAGGTTTCATTGGTCGATTGGTCCCCCTCAACATTCAATTGATCATGGTCTTTGGAACATTTACTCCTTTGGATAGAAGGTTTCACTAGTCGACCGGTACCTGACACTGATTGACCGGACATTTACGTTGGGCATGAAATGGCTACCTTAGGAAGACTACTGGTCCACCAGACCTAATCTAGACTTGTTCGGATTTTCTAACTAAATCTTCCAAAGACCTCATTTAAGAAGGCAAAGTATAAACAAAACCTAGAAGATCCTTTGACATACTTTTTGGCACTTTGACTATTGAGCAAAAACAAAAAGAGAATATTTATACCTCTTGTCTTGAATTTGAAAAGAGATTTCATTGAACATTCGCTTCTCTCTTTCTCTCTTTATTGTATTTCGTGAAATTATTGTATTGAGAGAATCTTTTGAAAAAGAGAGTATTGCATTATGCTTTTATGAGTGGGGGTCCCCGAAAGCGCATGAAAGATAAGCAGATGTTTCAAGAGATGGTCTACAAATGGGTTTGGTTCAGAAAGAGAACTCTTAACAAAACTAAGTTGGGGTTAATTAAGGTCAATGGGAAGAGGAATTAGCTAGGAATTTGAAGTGAGCTAAACTGGGAGATATCGTTTGTATAAAAAAGGTGAAGCTTGTTAGGGTTTTGACTTTCACTCATTGGCGAGGATCAATATATGGAAAAAGTCTCCAAGGGGGAGATTGAAGAGAGGACGCAAACTATAGTGGTTTGGGCCAAACTCTATAAATCTTGTTTGCATCTCTCGTCTGTATTCTCTTTATTATATTATCATAACTTACCTTCTTAGATTGTGCATTATTTCGAAGCATCATTTAAATTTTTTTTTTGCAAATAGTAAAATTGTTTCTAAAAAGTAAATTAGAAAGTAACAACCTAATTCACCCCTTCTTCTTAGGTTGCTTTTGGGCCAACATCCACAACCTAACTAACATCCCAAAACTGTACCGTCGTCCCATCTTGAC